CAAAACACCAGCCACTTATTTCCATGACACAAAGTCTATGCACAACCATGAGACTGCATTATCTGACACTGACTAACTGAAACACTGAGCTGCAGCTTGACTTTTTTTTTTTTTTACTGAATCATCACCAACGGATATGTTCTGCTACAAAGTTTGACGAAGAGATCTCCTTCCTACTCCTTCCCTATCAAAGGCTTGCATTTCAAACTGCTCGCTTCGAAGACAAGAGGATTCCCAGTATCAGAACCTCACACTGCCTTCTGTGCCAGCAGTGCAGCACCCGAGAAGCTAAGCCCTGAAAATGAATAAGGCTGCAGAGGAAAGCCCAGCCTCACACCACGGGCTCCGTAAGGATGGCAGGAACACGCCTGAGTCAGCAAATGAGCAGCTACCAAAAGAAGACAGTGTCTCATTGTCAATGTATATGATTGTGATTGTAATCGCCCTCTAAATATGAACACATCAGAAGCACTGTGACCTTTCTACTCTAAAATTACTTGGAAATATTCAAGGGCTTAAGCATTGTTTTCAAAACTAACTCACATTGTGTCTCAAAAGACCACTTGCGAGTAGGAAAAAAACTCATTTAGAATGGGATGAATAAGAAAAATAGTCGACAGTCTTAAAAACTGCACAGATCCGCCTGCTTTGGATACCTTCCCTTCGCTAAACTTAGCCCTTCCATGACCCTCGGGAAGGAATGCAAGACCTGTCTATGTTATCAAGTTTATACGGATTAAACTTTAGCATAAACAACAGTTCCCTTCTACACTTCACTCTGAAAGCCAAATTCCTGACTATTTCTCAATGCCACTGTTCTACGTCCCTCCCTCTTTATTCCCCCTTTTTCTTAAAGTTGGGTGAGTGTGGGACTATCAGATTCCTGACCACAAAAGAAATCACTCCTGCTGCTCACCCACAGCTCCCACTCCAAGAGGGGACAAGTCGTCCTGCAATTTTCCACCTTGAAGTCTGAGCACATCACTCCACACTTTGCAGATGATTTCAATAAAGTATCTGTATGTGTTTGGTAGGAGGAAAACAAGAAAACTCACTTTTGGGAACGTTTCTCTTTCCCAAATTATTTTACGTTTGTTCCACTGTTTAAGCATTTCAATCAGATGTACGGATCAAGAAGTCACATTCACAATTTAAACAACAATACTGACACTCCTATAGAGTTTGTCAACAAAACCTGGGTTTAGGCTGGGATCCACTGCACAGTTTTCTTCTGGACTCCAGCTCTTCAAGTTTAGACTCATCGGTTGAAGTGAGGGAAAAATCCCTTTAGCTATTTTTGTTGCAGGAAAATAATACTTCACCACCAGCTTGGGCGGGGGAAGGGGTTGATGAACAAGAACCTCCTGATTTGCCATGCGGATCATCCTCCAAGACAAAGAGCATCTTTACTAATTACAGCAAAAAATTAAAGCAGGAGCAGTTGCAGCGGTGTTTCTGGGCGCGCTGGGGGCCATGGGCTGTGCTGCCAGCAGCTCAGCAAGTCCCACCCCCAGAGCACCGTGGGGAGCCCAGGAGCAGCCCACGCTCTGCCTGATCTGCAGGGACAGGGGCTGCAGCAATACTGGGAAACCAAAACAATAAATCTTGGGAGAAAAAACAACCACCAAAAGCCCCCAAAAACTTCACTAAGGAGTTCAGAAGTGAAAAAACCTCAGCTCCCAGAATTCCAAGAGGTGGAACCCTTGCTGCGTTACAGTCTGAGGCTCTTTCCACGATCAAAATGAGCAAAAGGTTTAGGTTAAGCCAGATTTATACATAACTGTCTCTAATTTAAGAATGTAAGTGCAAACTTGCTGTGCGCTAACCCTTGCCTCTAGCAGTCACGTAAGCCAAAGGCTGCCTTCAATCTCTAACAGCTTTAACACACATAGTTTTGCAGGATTTTATTTAATTTTGACAGAGTAAAAAATAAACAGCCAAAGATGATGCTACAAAATATTTATTTTTCAATCAAATGGCTTTATGTTCACGTCACCTGAGATTTAACACGCACTACAGATTTAAGCATACATCCAACGCTCTCAACAAAAGTACAGCTCCTACGTCTTGCATAAAAAACAGCACGGACTGCAACCTTTATGCAGGCAGCGTAACACGAGATCTCACCAGTCGGGTCCTCAACTACACACAAAAGCAGCACCGGAGCAAGAACACAAATGTGCATTTGTAATGCAGCAACACTGCCACAAGAACAATGATCCTTGAGTGTTCAAAACTCTGGGTGCCCATTACGTTTGGTTTACTATTGCCAGAGTAGACAGAAACATTTTTATCTCATCACATCATCCAAGACTAGTTGGAAAAAGGCTGGGTGCCCAAAAGGAAAGGACGGACAGGCCAGGTGGGGTGATGAACCACACAGTGGGGCACTGAGCACTCAGGTCTCTCCAACCTCAATGTTGGAATTAATAACCTTTTAAAAAACAAAAGACAACCAAAACCTCACATAGCATTTAAAAAACTTAAATGAACTGTTCCTTCAGTTTATGCTTTTTGCCCAGAAGCAGTGCACAAGGTTTTGCGGGCTCCGAGGTGCTCATTCAATCCCGTTTCTTTGCAATGGGATTTCTCAACTGCGACCTATAACTTCTCAAAATAAGATCTGGCTACCACGGAGAACTCTTCCTATAAGGGGATTAAACATACCTGGGATTTCACCACATCACTATAGGCCATATAATCTCAGACAACACCAGCAGGAATGCTGGTTTCAAGTCACTTGGGATATAACAGTAAAAAGCAGGCCAGAGCCTTGCTAAAGCAGCATCACTTATTCAACAGGATGCAAGGCACCAGATAATTCCCCATTAAAACATACAGGGAGACAGTGAACAAAGGCTAAGGGGCAATGGAGATGGCTTGCTGTGTTTTAGTCCACGAAGGAAATGGTTCTGGTACCACCAGGAAATCCCAACCTGCTGGGGTTGTCCCACTGTGTTCTGCCCCAATGCTGGATACCATTCGTGGAATCACAGAACCATGACTGGAGACCAGCTGGTGCTCTATGTGTGAGGGCTCCTCGGAGCTCCACACCCTCAGCATGGCTGCAGTCAGCCAAGAGGATTTCAGAGCGTTTCAATCTCTCTCACACTATTCTGCTCCTGGAATTTTTGCTTTCAGAAAACAGCGTTACGGGTTTGATAAGCGAGGCCAGGACCTGACATGGAGCAGGGCTCCCCGTGAGGTGTGGTTCCCAAAGATGGCACTGACGCTAACGTGTTCCCATGTCACATCCTGCACGCCTCAACCAGCAGCTCCACCTTTAACAAATGCACCGGGATACTGAGCTCCATCCCAGCAGCACATCACCACTCAGACAGCGGCCAGTGCCAAATGGTTAGTTAATCAGATAAGAAAGGTACTCATTCTTCCTTAACATAAAAAAAAAAAAAAAAAAGGAAGCTATTACATTCAAGCAGACAGTGTGTAGATGGGAGCTGGCAGATTCCACAATACAGTCACGTCAAAAATGGCCTCCTGCAAACTGTTCCCTCACCGAGCAAGGAGAGGAATCTTTCCATTACCAGAGGACATCTCACCGCGGCACGGCAGCTTGCTGCACGTTGTGCCATACAGCCCTGCAAGCAGCAGCAGATAAATGGTGCTCTGCAGGCAGCAGCAGGGGGAAACTCCTCTGCCCGCAGCCTGCTCCCAGCCCCGAAGTTGAGCTAGGCCATTAGTTTGACTGTTCCCCACTCTGTGAATGGAAAATCCCTTCTCAGCACTCGCAGGCTGCTGTCTGCTGCACACACCCACCGCGCACAGCAGAAATTCCAGTCAATAAGGCGAGTGGGGCCCAGCCGGTGGAAGGGGAGGAAGGAGACACACAAACAATAAGGCAAGCATCTGGCTCTGCGACTGGCTGGAAGGAGGCCGGAGTTCAGAGGCGAGGCGGCTGCAGCCCGCAGTTCACAGGAAGATCCTATCAATCCTCGCTGCCCTACTTTTCACACAGATCAGAATATCTGCAGAGGGTAACCCAGGGTTCGCAGCCCGTATTCTGCAGTTTCGCCCAACGTGGGATGACGACGACAGATACCTCGATGGGTTTGCCGTTCCTGCTTCTGCTCGGGGCCCTGGGGACAGGCCTGAAGAACCCGAGGCCTCCCCTGCCCATGGCGCTGTGCTAATGGGGGACTGGGGAGCACCAGCCCTGCCCAGCTCCCAGCCAGCACCCGGAGCGCTGCTGTCACCCCGGGGCCGGGGACTTCCCGGGTCAACCGCAACAAGAAAGAAAAATAAAATCCCGGCGCTTCCTATACGAGCGAAAAGGGAAACCTCCTCTTTCTAAGGAAGGAAAAGGAGATGGGTTCGCTGGGTTCGGGCCGTAAGGCACAGCCGTTCCAGAACGCCTCGCGGCGGGGGGGGCCGTCTGGAACACGGCGGCCCCGAGCTCCGAGGCCGCATCCCGCACAAAGGCGAGGCTCGGAGCTGCTACCCGTTACATAATGGCCGGGGGCCGCGGCAGGGCCGGACCGGGGCCCTTTCCGGGGGCACGGAGGTAGGAACCCCTCGAGAGGCGGGAAAAGGTCCGCCCGGGGGTCGCTCCGCGGAGGGGATGCGGTTCCCCCGGCGGCGGCGAAGAGCGGCGGGGCCGCGCGGCCCGGCGACACCCAAGGGCGGCCCAACGGTGACCTTGCGAGCGCCGGGCCCCCCGCGTGGCAGCGGCCCCGGCAGGGCGAGCCCCGGCACCATGAGAAAGCAGAAAACGCCGCGCCGCCCGAGCGGGCGGCCCCGAGCCGAGGGACGAAGCGCCGGACGGAGAGCGCGGCGGGCCCGGTGCTCGCTACCGCCCACGAAGCCCCGCGGCCCGGCCGGCCGGCTCCGCGGCACCGGGCCCGCCGCCGCACCGGGCCTCTCCCGGCAGCGGCCCCGCAGCTCCGCACCGCCGCCGAGGGCCCGCTCCGGGGGCCGCCGGTGCCGCGCACCCGTCCGCGCGTTCCCGTCCTCCCTCCCGCCCGCCGCCGGCCCACGCCTACCTGGCCGGCCCGTTCCCCGGGCCCCGCGCGGCACTAGGCCCGGCTGAGCGCCACGGCGTTTCCTGGGCGGCCGGCGGCAGCGAGCCCGCGGCGGCGGCGCCAGCCCCTCCCCCTGGCAGCGGTACGACGGCTGCTCCCCAGGCCGGGCGGAAACGGCACTGCGCGCACGGGGATCCCCGGCGCCGGCGCCAGGGGCGCCCCGGCCACGCCTACTCGCGTTCCCCGTTGGCTGCCGCGGCGCCGCGCCGCGCCCCGCCGGGCCGCCCGCCGCCGATATCGCCCCGCCTTCCCTCGCTTCCTATTGGCGGGCTCTTCGCCCGGCCCCTCCCGCGCTCTTTTCTCATTGGGAGCCGCCCGCCCGCCCCGCCGCTCGCCTCACGGACGCGGCGTCCCATCGGCTCGCCAGGCTGCCAATCGGCGGGGGAGGGCGGGACGTCGCCAGTGCCGACGCGGTGCGGCCGGGCGGGCCGCGACGGTGCCCGCCGGGCGAGGCGCGCTACGTGCCGAGGGGCGGTGCCGGCCGCGCCGGGCTCCTCCCTCTCCGAGGCGCCGCTCTCCGCGGGGTAACTCCCGCGTCGGGACACGTGGCAGAAAGAAGGGGCGGCGCGGGCGGCCGGGATTCCTGGGCGGCAGCCGCGCGGCGCCGCGCGTGCGCGGGTTGGGAGTGAGTAGAGCGCGGAGGGGGGGAAGGCGGGAGGCGCGTCGCGCATGCGCGCTGCCCCGGGTGCGGGGCCTGCCGCTCGGCACGTCCGCGCTGCGGGGGGAGGGGGCGGGCAGGGGTCCGGCGGGGGGCGGCGCGGGCGGCCCTCGGCCTCGCGGGGCGGCGGTGCCGCTCTCGTCGGGCGGCCGTGTCCCTCCCCCTTCGGGCCCTCCTGAGGTGAGGGGAAGGGGGGCGCGCCGGGCCCTCCGCCGCCTGAGGGAAGCGAGCTCCGCGCCCCGCACAAAGGGCGCTGCCCGCGGCGGGAGGAGGGGCGGCCGAGGGAGCGGGAGGGCCGGCGGTGGGGGGGGGGTCGTTCTGCGGGCCGAGGCGGGACCTCGAGAGCCGCGGGGCCGCGGTCAGCCACCGCCCGGGAGCGGAGCGGGCCGAGGAACGGCGCGAGGGGGAAGAGAGGAAGGGATTTCGTGACCGGCCGTCCGTGCCGTTTAATGCCCGCCGCGCGTTGCGGCTCTGCGGCGGTGACGGCCGCGCAGCCTCGCGAGGCGCCGTGCCCAGCTCTGCGGCTCCGGGCCGTTTCCTCGCGCCGATCCCCGCACCGCCGCCCCCGGGCGGGAAATGGCCGCGGGGGGGGGGGACCCGCAGCGCCGCCATCTTGTGCTCAGCCCCCACGGCCGCCGCGGCGCTGCGGCCGCGAAAAGGGCCGGCGGCGGGCAGGCGGCCCCGAGAGCGGGGCGGGCCGGCGCCGAGCGGTCGCGGGGAGCTGCTCCGGGGCTCCCGCCCGCCGCGATGCGCGTGGCCGGTCACGGGGCGCCGAGCCAGGCGTGCTGCAGGCACTGCGCGGCCGTGGCGCGCTTCTCGGGGGCGTAGCGCAGCGCCGACAGCAGGAAGCTGGTAAATGGAGGCACCTCGTGTTTTCTCCACTTGAGCCTGTCCGCCAGGATGGCGTGGAGGCTGCGGGGAACGAGCCTGGAGATCCGCAGGAGAGCACCTGTCAGTGCGTAAGCACAGTATGTTAATGACACCCTCGAGAGCGGTAGGCTGTTGCTCCTCCCCTCACACAACTCGTCCAGATCCTCCTGAAGGATCAGTCCGTGTGCATCGAGCACAAATGAAACGTTCCCAGGATAGCAACACCAAAGTCATTCCTGTGGTCCCTGTGCCTGCCTGTGCACAACACAGAGAGCATTGTTGCCACAGACACGAGCCACTCATGTTTAATTTGCTTTGTGCCTGCTCACTCCGTGAGATTAAGGGCGCCACTACTGCCCAGGAAGTGAGCCTTGTCCCTCGGGTGCGTGGTGTAAATGCAGTGAGTCAGGTTAGGCATGTGTGGTTAGGCCAGTTTGGTTCTCACGGAGAATGAATATAAAACAAGGACTGTTTTTGACTCATCTTTTGAGCACCATAGAAGGAATAAATGAACAAAGGAGTTGAATGAGCAGGGAGGTGCTTGTTGATCTACAGCACTGCTGTTAGTGTGCAACATGAGAGGAACTGTACCTAGACAGGTGGTATGGGTGGTTAACATGAGTGAGGAGGAGGATGGACTGAATTGCAGGAGGATGGAGTTATGTAATGCCTTGAAGTCAAAGACGACAATTTCCAGCTTAATGAGTCAAAGGAATTGGGGAGATTAAAACAGAAAAGACATTACAGCTGGGTCAGAAGACTAAATATAGCAGCCACGGTGGAAGGATGAGAGGATATGAGTGTCCCATTCCTCTTCATCATTGTTCTCTGCTAGTGAATGGGTGAAATCCAGCCAGTTGCACGCTCACAGCTTTCCTGCCATGTAGCTGTTTCCTGTTCTTATTTCCATTCTCTCCAGCTCCAAGGGAGGAAGGATAGACATTTTTTCCTTGCTGGATATTTACTATGACCATTTTTGAGGCTTCTGTATTTGCATTTATTGCTGGAATGCTTCTGGATTGCACAGGTGGCAGTGCAGGAAGCGTTACTGAGCTTTACGAAATCTCCACCTCTGTTCTGTCCTGCCTGTAGCCTGTGCTGTATAACATTACTTTTGGTGTTTTTCAGTAGTAGCCAAGGAGTGTATCAGAGATCCACAGTGTTTTTTAGGGTAAACTTCCCTTGGCTAATTCTTACCTGGCCTTCTGAAAAACTTTGTTGACTTGTTCCAGGAGAAAGCAATCTGGGGAGGGATTCTTCCCAGGAGTTCAATAATGCGAGCAACATGATCTGGACAGAGGAAGAGAAAACATGTCTAGATACAGAGATGATGATGCTTCTGTCAGTGAAATGAATACAACTGATGGAGTCCTACCATCATCTCTGGAGAAATATTTCCCAGGTTGAGGATTAAATAGACATTCCCCCGTTGCCATTTCAAATGCCTAGAAAAGGAGTAGCATTGTTAATTCACTGACCAACTGGGACTTTTTCTTCCTTGTGAACCCTGATGGGAAGGGGAAGTGGCACAGGTACTATCACCCAAAACTGATAATGAAACATGAAAAGATTCATGTTACTTTGATACACCACTGTGAAGCAGCACCTTTAGTTGCATCAGGATGGAAACAAGTATACGCCTACTTCAGTCAAATACATGAGCTAGCATCGTACTTGCAGCATGAACTGCCTTAAGCATAAACTAATTACAGTGAATATGTCCACAGCATACTTTCAGTCCAAAGTGAAGGAGTGCAGACAGCCTGCTTTTCCTTCTCTGACTCAGCAATGGCGAGGAAGTTGTGCTCCACATGCAGTGTGCAAATGGGTGCTGAGGACATGCTACCCTGGACCTGCCAGTGTCAGTCGCCTTCCATGCATGCTCAGCACTGCCTCCAGCCCTACCAGGCAGCCTGTGCTCCAGATGTCTGCAGGAGTGCCATAGTCTAATCCAAGCAGCACTTCTAGGGCGCGGTATGGCTGGGTCTGTATCTCCTTAGAAAAAGGCTTATACTGTAACAGAAACAAACACCCTTTGGTTAGCTTCCATAAACGAGTAACAGTGATGCTTGTGGCCACAAGCTGTCCATGCAATCACGAGGAAGAACTGAAGGCGTGTAGTAAAGTGCGTGCAGGAGACATCAGACCATTCTCAGCCCTACTGGCGCCTCACTAAATTTACCTCCCAACATTTCACAGTGAACTTGTTTACAAATTTCTGGTTTACGGACTAACTGCAAGCTGGAGAAGGATCCAAAGCTGACATATCTCTGGAGTGTACTGCCCAACTCTAAGCTGGCAGTGATGAATGTAACACCTGGAATCAGTTTTACTTTAGTACACTCTAGGATAACTGCTCAGCTGTAGAAGGACTGACATGCAAGGTATGAAGGAAGTGCAAAGCATCTCACAGTCACAGGACCAAGACTTGCAGCAGACTCACTGTCCAGCATGCACTGCCCAGATCAGCAATTTTCACTTCTATGCTCATTAAATCAGAATCTTCTAGTTGATTGCCGGGATCACCTCCTATATGGAAAGGAGGGAGAGAAATCAGGTCTTTCTCCAAACCAACAGGTATGCATCACTTACCACAGAAGGTACTTGTAGACCTACCTGCCTTTGAAGTTTTTCAATCTAGCAATCCAAAAATGCTTTAGACAGGTGATTCCTTTTATCACCAATAAAATACCACTTCTGATTTTTGAGGGAGTGCAAAGGAAGGGCTGCTAACCAGTCACAGTCTAAGAAAATGTTATGGAAAACTGCAGCTTGCAGTGGAGTGGTGTGACAACATGCACCTCTCCTGCTGAAAGGCGCCTGCCTGGCAAGAACTGTCAAGGTAGCATTTTCACATACAGACCCTGGAAAAGGGTAATTTTTGTTTTATTGCTTTGTAACTCTCAACTTATGTCTGGTATCCTGCCTTTTTGTTCCTAACAAAAGACTCCATAATTTAGCATTTGTCGGTTACCCCAGGGTTTGAGGGACAAAACAGCAACATCATGGGAGAAATGCTTGTGGGAGAATATTATGGGAGAAAATATGAAGAGTCTCATTGCTGGGTGACTAAATCCCTTGAGAAACTCTCCAGCCTATGGCTTACCATATATTCACATCGTTCTCTGAAAATAAATCATGTCTCAAAAGGCCTCAAAGAGACATACAAGTCTCCCACAAACCTCAGGAATACAGGAAATAAAAGAGTAGATGCGTCATACAGTTTTTTGATCAAACCAGTCGGTATGTATCCTATTCAGTAGCTGAAAGTACCAGGTGAGGGAACTGTCCTGTACTGGAAGCTGTAAGAATTGCTCTGAGGTTGTGCTCAGGTTATTGACAAGTGCCTATGATTTTTCATTGTTCTGCATGCACACCTTTGTGCAAGGCCACTTTTCTGTTGGTGCCCTGAGTAACTTGGAGGTTTGTAGTAAGAGAGACAGGAGAGGTCTCAGCAGTGCAAGTTGTCTGTGTTGTTTTGTACCGGTGTTGCGGGAGATGCGAACACTTCTTAAGCTATTTGCACCTACTCTGCTGTTTCCACTTCTGGCAATAACCTCTTAAGTCTCTGTTCTTGCAATAAAACCCTCAGTG